TACTCCTCTGCAAGCTCCACCACCCACACCTCCTCCTCCACCTCCTCCACCACCACCTCCTCCACCACCACCTCCACCTTCTGCTCCACCACCAGTGCAGCTACCAGTATCTTTAGATCTTCCACTTTTCCCCCCAATTATGATGCAGCCAGTGCAACACCCAGCATTACCTCCTCAGCTTGCCCTTCAATTACCACCAATGGATGCTTTATCTGCAGATCTTACTCAACTTTGTCAGCAACAGCTAGGATTAGATCCAAATTTTCTACGACACTCTCAGTTCAAGCGTCCCCGTACCAGAATCACAGATGACCAACTGAAAATCCTGCGAGCATATTTTGATATTAATAATTCTCCCAGCGAAGAACAGATTCAGGAAATGGCTGAGAAATCTGGCCTTTCACAAAAAGTTATTAAACATTGGTTTCGAAATACCTTATTTAAGGAACGACAGAGAAACAAAGATTCTCCATACAATTTTAGTAACCCTCCCATAACGGTTTTGGAAGATATAAGAATTGAACCACAACCCAGTTCTTTAGAACATTACAAATCTGATTCATCTTTAAGCAAGCGATCATCTAGAACTAGATTTACTGACTACCAGTTGAGAGTGTTACAAGATTTTTTTGATACAAATGCTTATCCAAAAGATGATGAGATTGAACAACTTTCAACTGTACTTAACTTACCGACTCGTGTTATTGTTGTATGGTTCCAAAATGCACGGCAAAAGGCTCGTAAAAGCTATGAGAATCAAGCTGAATCTAAAGATAATGAGAAAAGGGAGCTCACCAATGAGAGATACATTAGGACTAGTAACATGCAATATCAATGTAAAAAATGTAGTGTTGTTTTTCCTAGAATTTTTGACTTAATTACTCATCAGAAAAAGCTGTGTTATAAAGATGAAGATGATGATGCCCAAGATGAAAGTCAAACAGAAGATTCAATGGATGCCACAGATCAAACTCTTTATAAGAATTGTACACTTTCTGGTCCATCTGACTCATCTAAATGTATGGCTGTAACAACAACAGCAAGCTCTGGATCTGGTTCCAGTACTCCTTTAATGCCATCACCCAAACCTGAACCGGAAAAAAACTCTCCCAAACCTGATTTAACAGAAAAGCCAAAGCAAAATGATACCATACCTAAACAAGTTGAGACTTCCTCCCAAAGCAACAAATCAATGCAGTCTACACTAACATCCTCCTCTGATCCACAGCCCTCAGCTTCTCAAGCACAGCAACACAAACAATCCCAAATAGGAGGCAGACCACCTTCCACATCGCAAGCTACGCCTGTTCCTTCCAGCCCTTTAACAATTTCAATGGCTCCTCTTCAAAATAGTCTACCTCCTCAATTACTGCAGTACCAGTGTGACCAGTGTACAGTTGCCTTTCCCACTTTAGAACTTTGGCAGGAACACCAACACATGCATTTCTTAGCAGCACAAAATCAATTCCTCCATTCTCAGTTTTTAGAAAGGCCTATGGATATGCCCTATATGATATTTGATCCTAATAGTCCTTTGATGACAGGGCAGTTGCTGAATAGTTCTTTGGCTCAGATGGCACCACAAGTAGGTTCAACTCACACCACTCACCATACTGCTTCAGTTCCTGGCTCACTTAAAAGAAAACTGGATGATAAGGAAGATAACAACTGTAGTGAAAAAGAGGGAGGAAACAGTGGTGAGGACCAGCACCGGGATAAACGATTGAGAACTACAATTACTCCAGAGCAATTGGAAATACTCTATGAAAAATACCTTTTGGATTCCAATCCTACCCGAAAAATGCTAGATCATATTGCACGTGAAGTAGGTCTTAAAAAGAGGGTTGTACAAGTCTGGTTTCAAAACACAAGAGCTCGAGAAAGAAAAGGGCAATTTCGTGCAGTAGGGCCAGCTCAATCTCATAAAAGATGTCCTTTTTGCCGAGCATTGTTTAAAGCAAAGTCTGCTTTAGAAAGTCATATTCGCAGTCGACACTGGAATGAAGGAAAACAAGCAGGTTATAGTTTGCCACCAAGTCCTTTAGTAGCCAATGAAGATGGAGGAGAGAGCCCACAAAAATACATGTTTTTTGATTATCCATCTTCCTTAACAAAAATCGATTTATCAAGTGAAAATGAATTAGCTTCTACTGTCTCAACTCCTGTCAGTAAAACTGCAGAAATGTCACCGAAGAATCTTTTAAGTCCTTCTTCTTTCAAAGCAGAATGCAATGAAGATATTGAAAATCTGAATGCTGCGCCTGTGGATAGTTGTTATGATCAGAATAAAACTGACTTTGATGAAACTTCATCAATTAATACAGCAATTAGTGATGCTACAACGGGAGATGAAGGAAACAATGAAACAGAAAGTATGAGTGGCGGTTCAAGAGATGTGAAATCTACATCAACTCCTAAAGAGCCAAAAAACATTCTAAATGACAGTTTGCCAAAAAACACAAACATGCCTAATATGGAGAACAGTGACGATAAGTTTTTATTCTCTCTGACGAGCCCATCAATCCATTTAAGTGACAAAGATGGAGACCATGACCAAAGTGTTTATATTACTGATGATCCTGATGATAATGCTGATCGCAGTGAAACATCAAGCATAGCTGATCCAAGTTCACCTAATCCATTTGGAGCAAACAATCCCTTTAAATCTAAAAATAGTGATCGGCCTGGTCACAAACGATTTCGGACACAAATGAGTAATTTACAGCTTAAGGTCTTAAAGGCTTGCTTTAGTGACTATCGGACTCCAACCATGCAAGAATGCGAAATGCTAGGGAATGAGATTGGCCTGCCCAAACGTGTGGTTCAGGTTTGGTTTCAAAATGCTCGAGCAAAAGAAAAGAAATTCAAAATTAACATAGGGAAGCCATTTATGATCAATCAGAATGCAACTGATGGATCAAGACCAGAGTGTTCTCTATGTGGGGTGAAGTATTCTGCACGTTTGTCCATAAGAGACCATATATTTTCCAAACAACATATAACAAAAGTGCGAGAAACTGTGGGAAGTCAGCTGGACCGGGAAAAAGACTACTTAGCTCCTACAACTGTTAGACAGCTGATGGCACAGCAAGAATTGGATCGTATTAAAAAGGCTACAGATGTTTTAGGCTTAACAGTACAGCAGCCAGGCATGATGGACAGCAGTTCGCTTCATGGAATCAGTTTGCCAGCAGCTTACCCAGGACTACCTGGCCTTCCTCCAGTTCTTCTACCTGGAATGAATGGTCCATCTTCCTTAACTGGATTTCCTCAAAGTTCAAACAGTAAGTAAACATGAAAAGAAAAAAAATAGTATTGTTGAGACAAAGTTGGAACTGTATTCGCCAGGAATGCCTTTCTGTCATTTATGTGACTGTGCATCAGAAAAATAATGTGTTCAAAACATGCTGTCAGTGGACCCTTCCTAACCTAGATATTCTGATCCAGCAAAGAGGAACAGGAGACAGTAATGTCCTCAGGGAGGTCAAAATTTGCAAGATAGGAAGCAGGAGTGTGGCATCATAGTGCAAGTTTTGCCCTTGTTGTATGTGTGTCACCAACACATGCACACACAAAAGAGGACAGGGCTTGGATTGCAACATAATGCCCACCATCACTCAGGTTTTAACCCCTCCCTGTGTATGCCCCTAATGAGGGCGGATTCAGTCTTTACCAATTCCCTTACCCCTGTAGTTCTCTCTGTGTCCCATAAACTTGGAGGACTTTCCAAAACATAATGGGAGTAAAGACTGCAGAGAGATAGGCCCTTGATGGCAGAAAAATAACAAAAATCTAGAATCCATCCAATATTTATAAGAGTTTGAATTTTAGTTAGCTGAAATTTTGTCAATATTGTGTTTTTCAAGTAAAACAATGTTAAATGTAATGTGTATTTTAAGTAACAAGTTATATGTCAATTAAGTAACATTCTTAACTAGAACTTTTACACATATTTACGAGTTCATCCAATAAAAACCATGTATTTTTATAATTTAATCAATATTCCACATACATTTGTCATTATTTAAAATATTTTACTGCATAAAGGCAAATTGAGGGATGGCATTAAGTAACTGAGGCAAGATCTCCTTGAAGCAGTAATGAGAGTAAAAGGAGCTTGTACACTAATAGCTTGTTCTCTGGGGTTTAACTCTATCCAGCTAAAGCTGCAATTCAAATAGTTGCATTGAAATCAGTGGGACTTCTAAATAATCATGGTAAAGATTGAGCTAAAAATCAATCTTATTTTATTTAATTCACAACAGTGGTTTTTCCTGATCTCAGTAACAGTTTAAGGCGTTAGATTGTAATGAATTAATATAGTCGAGCATAAATTCTAGGCAGTAAGGCTTTATGTATTTGCAAGAATGCAAGTAGAAAAATTACAAATCTAGGAAATATTTATTTCCAGATGGTTCTTGATTTGAAGATTCAGTGCCAACTGTTTGGTTAGTTTCTATAGTAATTATTATAATAAAAACTAAAATACATTTTCCATATCCGAGAGTGTCACTGATACAGAACTTTTACCTATCATTAATATTATGTGGCTTATGATTACATTAAAACTACTCAAACTTGAGGTTTGAGGTCTATACTATAAATTGCCCGCACTAAGATTATAGCAATAACATCTTTTCTATACAACTTTATTCTAATCGATAATAGCCATTCCATTGATTGCCCTATCCAACATCCTTGCCTTAGTTCATAATGTTTTTCTTTTCAAAATGGGGAATTTTCCCTTCTGCTTTTGTGTAATAAAATTAAAACAGTGCATCTTTTGTTATGTGCACACAAGTAACACATAAAGAAAACTGCATATTAAAGATGCTAAGTGGTATATATAAGATTTTAAACTTAAAAGAAAACTAAAATATATTTTATCAGAATAATTACAATCCTTTTCTTTAGTTGGTGAGTGATAGATTAAAAAAAGAGAGAGAGAGAGAGAGAGAGAAGTCCAGTCTACACATGGAAGTGTGTTCTCCTCAGTAAGAAGAACCCATTGTAGGACCATATTGCAAAGCCAAATCCCGTCCTTCAGAAACATCTGAGCTGACAGATAAAGCCCTCATGGCATGGACTTTAATTTCTAGTGTTATATTCAGTCTCCAAACCTTACACATTAAGTTCCTGAGAACAAGTATTCAGATTTTGGAAGAAGAATAAAAATCATAACACCGATTTGGAATAAATGCTGGAAAGACAGTTCTCTGGATTTTTCAGAACTCTTTTCTTTGCAGAGTATTTACTGAAGATAAGCTTCACTTCCAGACTGAGCTGTTATTATTGCTATTACTTCTTCCAGTTCTCAATCCTAGTACAGTAATAACTTACGGTTAAGCCATTTTCTACTTACAGAAGATTGTATTGAGGCCTGGAACTGGTAATAACAATCTACAGTCCAGCAAAGAGTTGTATAAGACTATAATAAGCCTATACATACATACATACATACATACATACATACATACATACATACATACATGCTTATTATAGTCATGTATATATATTTATACATTAATACATATATATATATATTTAATAAATAAATAAATAAATTTGGGGAGTACTGTTGCTCTTTCAAAGTAGATTTAAGGACCATTTAGGTAAAATATCTAACAGCCTTCATTCTGTTAGGAAGGAATAGAAACTTTCTCTACACTTTCCTCCTCTGACGTCTGGCATTGTTAGCTAAGACTTCACTTTAAAACTGTTCAGAGCACTGATCTGTGATCAAGAGATGACCATTAAAAGAATGTCAGGCTCTATCAGAGATTTCTGTTCTCCATTTCTGTGCCTATGAGGTTGCAACAGTATGCATAACACAGGTTTCGATTGTTAGAAATGGGACCGAAGTGCACAAACTGTTAAACGTTGAAGTTCAAGGCAACACTTCCCTACTGTCATTGGATCAGCTAATTTGTGTATCAATAGCTGACATAAATATTGAGGATCTATGTGCAGACTAAGCCTGATTACTTGCAGGTTATTTCTAGATACTGGACATATGGATCAGTCCTTTGAGTTAGCAGATCTTCAAATAATTAATGTAGTAACATAATCTATAAAATATCAGTTAAGACTGAGGCAGAGCACTTTCAACTGATGTGGCTAATCTCTTTGTATAAATGCTAAGCAAATATATATCTTGATACATTTCATTCTTCCATATGCTAAATAAACCCTCTATCCTATCTTTATTACCCAGAAAATATATGTTCCTAATGGCTCTTAATGGAATAGTGGAAGTGAAAGGAAAAGAGTAGATTATATTAAACTTTCATTAGTGAAAAGCACTCCTCCTCCACAGTTCTTTAATATATGCTCATTGCTGATATGCTTCATATCTTATTAACCCACTTTAACATCTTGTTTTGCTGTGTGGGCAGCAGTTCCCATCTGTGTTTGATGCAAAGAGAGAAGTTTAATCAGAATCTTCTTTCTTTCAGTCCACTTTCTGCCCTGATCCTGGTTATGATCCTCTAGTTTAGTTCTTTCACCTTTTAAAATATTTCAAAATCTGCTAACAGTCCTGCCACCTGCTTCCAAAAATTATCCTAGGATTCATTTAAAATATGATACATAATACCTCTGAATGTACATGTGCATCCATATCTTCTTCACTCTCTTTAATGTTATGACCAAATTGGCAGAGAATTTATCAAATTATCTTTGAGCATGTTTGCAATTAATTATTTGCATAAAGATCTGCATAATTAAAATACGTATTTTTGTTAGCATTGCTCAGTTGTTTTTCGGGTGACCATTATTCTACTTAACAAATACAGCTAAGTAGATTCTACCCTTATGCCCCCATTCAGTTATTAGCCCTTGATCTGTCACAAAACTACTCAAAAAGCCATTCTTATGTATTGGTATGTATGTATGTGTGCCTGTATATGTATGTATGTACTGTATGTTTGTGTGTGTGTGTGTGTGTGTGTGTGTGTGTGTGTGAATGATTTGGAAAATTTACCGAGCAATTTCAGTCATGTCATCTCAAGCTTAAACACCAATCATTTCATTTGGATTTACTCACTGGTAATGAGCTATCCTCGTAGCTTTAATTTGTCTTCTAATTGATATATGTCTACATCATTAATTGCCACAATCTGAAAGTCTTTAAAATTTGTTTAAACATGATGTATCAAGGAAAATAACATAGTTGGCATAATGATTGGAGAAGTCAACTTGCCCAATGAAAGAACAAATGAAACAAATCCAGTCATTATGGTCATATATATATATTACTTACATTATTTAGACAGAAAATTGCTAATGTTTATATCTGTAATAAACTTTTCTAACTAATTTTACAGTATTTGAAATATGATGATCTTCACTGTTAACATTTCTTGATTAACTGCTTTGCACTTATAGTTAGACCTCAACTTTTGATTAATGTCTACTTTGTCTATTGAACCATTGTTGACCATCCAATTTTTTAAAAAAATCTTCATTTGACATACGGGCAAGCTAGATGCTTGTGTACATTATGAGAAAGCCAAAAAAAGGATATTATATATTTATTATTTAAAATAATACATTATCTCTGGGGCAGATGGGCGGCATATAAATTTAATAAATAATAATCCCAGTAGTTATAGCTTCTTATTACCAGAAATAACTATATGCATTTTTATTAAAAAATATTTTAATATAATTAAATTTTCATTAAAATAATTTAAAGTTTAATGAAGTCTTAAAAGTATTTTTCTATTACATATTTATTATGCCAACTGCAGATTTTTAACAGATGCCAACTAAAGACTGTTTAATAACTATATATTTTAGCTTCCAATGAAATAAAAGTAATGATTCTGTAACAAACATTAAAAAATTGCCTTGTTAAATCTGATAGCTTCTTTCTCTGAGTTCTAATTACTTTTTCCTAAGAAGTGTTAAATACCTGGATATTGATGATGACAGCACCATTCATGCCATTAATAACTCGTCCATCCTGTAGGGTCCAGGGTTCTTAATCTTATAGTGTCACACATACACTGATCTTAGAAGATGCTTTAAGCCCTAATTTCTATGTATTACCTTATTTTTCTCTGCAGCAGCCTCTTAAAATTTATTTTCCACACTTTTCTGGCCAGTTACAAAGATCATAACCACTGCTTTTTCAGTAGCCAATAAAAATAGAATACTGTATAGACAAAGTTGTCTAAAACTAGCATTTTAAGTGTAACAAGAAATTCCTCATGCTTATTTTCACTAAGTATATAGACAAACCCAATACAAAGTATTTCTTTATTATATAGCAAACTGTGTCCCAAGTCAGTAAAGACAATTATTGCTTTTGTAGCCACTATATATAAAAATCAGGCTTATTTCCAAATTTGTGTTCAGAAGATGATGGCTTTATGCTGCAATCCTTCTCAGAAACAACTTACACCAATAAATTAAATAGGACTTACTTCTGAGAAGCCATGGGTAAGATTATACTAAATTGCTCACAATGAGCTTCCACTGCAGGAATACAGTGAAGACCACATAGCTTTGATAGTGGAACATTCTAATTTTATTTTAAAGAAAGTGGAAGACTTTCTACAGTTGCTGCAACAGTAGAGAGTACTCAAAAGAAAATTCTCACATGTACTGTATCACAATAAAAAAGACCAGTTTGATCACTGCTATTTTTGATACTTATCTATTGTTTTGTTTATGTTGCCCATTTTAATTAGGCGAATCTAATATTATTAGCCTATATATTATTAGATATGTAATCACTTGTATAGAGAACCAATCTGCTGCAGTGGTTAAGGCTAGAAACTGGGAGACCGTGAGTTCTAGCCCTGCCTTAGGCATGAAGCCAGCAGGATGACCTTCGGCCAGTCATCTCTCTCAGGCCTAGGAAGCGGGCAAGGAAAAACCACTTCTGAAAATCTTGCCAACAAAACTTCAGGGACCCAAGTCAAAACTGACTGGAATGTACCTGCCCACTCTGCAAAAAAAGTTACATAATTACTTATTTCTCAGGTGAAAAAAAAAAACTTATCCCAGAGGCAGAATTAGTTAAAATGAGAACAAAATTCAGATATATTGCAAACCCCAGTTAAGAGTATTATTTCAATAGTGTCAGGCTAATATCTGTTACTATATGAAATAAATAGTGTCTTTAGGACATATAGTTATTGTTTAATAATTAAAACTTCAGTTGATCAATCAGTGGCAAAAAAATTTAATTAAGGAAGCATTTTAAGTGTCTAAACCTTTGATATATGCAAATTTATTTTGTTCAATCAATTAAAACAGTTGATTTGTCAACTCAAATTAATAGATTGATAGCTGCAACATTGTATACTGTATGCTTTAAGTCTAAAATTAAAACTATAGAATCATTGATTGTATATGTATACACAGGTAGGCGCCAAACATTTGTCATGTTTGTTCACAGTTAACAAGTATGATGTTGTTTTGTAAGATGATGATGGTGATAATAGATAAAGTTTAGCACTTATGCAGCAAATGTCAAGTATGTCTGAAGGGGTCCTTATACATTATATCAGGACCTCTTACAATAGGCATATAAAATATTTGTATATTACCAAAAATATTGGTAACAATTTATGGGTGAAATGAGATTTGTCAGATCACACTGCTTCATTTACCCAAGGTGCAATTGCACCAAATAATGAATGCCATTATTTTAAATTCTGATAGATATTGCTATTCTGGCAATATCAGAATTTATTTACTGGCAGAATTTATTTAAATTCTGATAGATACTGCTATTGTGGCAATATCAGAATTTATTTACTGGCAGAATTTATTTAAATTCTGATAGATACTGCTATTGTGGCAATATCAGAATTTATTTACTGGCAGAATTTAT